TTTCATTTAAATTTCGCTGAGCTAATAGATCTTGGCCTAGAGGGAGGGAAGCCCGTGTAGCTATACCTGCGGATCACCTAGTCCCTCTTTTATATCAACTAAATAGCTTTGAGGACTATGTTTTGGGCTGTTTGTATGACGACATGAGGGAGCTTTTGATGAAGAAGCCCTTCAACAACCTCTATAGGCCCGTCTAGTTCTTGAGGCTGTAAATGATAGCTTACTTCTCTCTGCTCCATTAGGAACCTTTCCCCCGAGGATTCCTATGCCAACCACCTTCAGTTGCCTCTTGGATGGTCATCCTCTGATTGAGTCATAAAACTTCTTTGAGTTCTTCAATCAATATAGTTGGTCCTTATGAAGGACCTTGAAGCCCTTCAACATTCTGGATTATCGCCTTCCCGCCTGGTATAGACATTTGGTGGATAAAAAGAATAAACCTGCCTTGCTGATAAGGGACGAGGTCTTCCTCTCAGGTACCACTCCCAAAAGATGTGACTGTCATACACTAGCTCCTCCTTCAAGTCTTTAAAGGTTACTTAGAGTCTTATCACCCTTAATTAGTGGCGGGCTAGTTTGGGTTGAGCTAATGCATCCCTTAAGGGCTGTCCCCTCAAATCAGTATGGAGCTATTGGACTAGGAGGCCATTGACTAGATAGCCATTCCATATACTGCCCAAAGGCAGTGCAAGATAGAACTTGTAGATAGGGATGTCTACCTCCACTTCAATAAATGATGGCCCCAGCTTTTTAGGCGCATAATAAAGAGTAATACCAGTAAGTATTATCTTCTGTGTTCATTTTTTTTACCTTTAACATAGTCTAACCTATTTTTACTCTTTTGTAGGCCATGATTGAATGCAATCACATGTGTCGATAAACTTCTTAAGGGAAAACATCGAGTCCCCCGCTACTTCTGAGACCCAAATGGCCCCCTCATTGAGGACTGTAGTCCAAAAGATGGAGAACGATGATGTATCTTGTGAACATTGTATTTTGTCCAAGCATTTTAAATTTATTAAAAAAATAATAAATAACTAAAAATAAGGGCAACTATGAACACTATATTTTGTCCAGGCATTTTTAAACTTAATAAAAATAATAATAAATAACTAAACAAATATAAAAATACAAAAACAAAATTTAATCCTTTTTAGGATTATAATTTCAAAAAAATATAATTAATAAGGTTTAATTTTTGTTTTAATTTAGATAATCTTTTGTTGGTTAGGATTTTATTTCTTTTAGGTCATCAAAAAAAATATAAAAATGAAATTTAATCCTTTTTAGGATTATATTTTTTTAAAAAAATAATAATTTAACAAAATAAAAAAAACTCTTGCTTAAATTTTTTAAAATCTCTCCTAATTATTCCCAATCATTCAAGAAATATTGGGAGTCAATTTTTGAAGAGTTAACTTTTCTCTCCTTAAATCTTATTTTTCACTTAAAAAAAAAATGTGTGTGTTGTGTGTTAACCTAAAAATAATAAAAAAAATCAAAAAAATAAAATATTGCAGGGTCGGATGAAACGCTGAGTTTCAGGTTTCATCACAGCCCTTAAAGGGCCTTCCTTTAACACATGTAGAGGCAATAGAAAAGAGAAAAGAAAGGGAAGTGAAACACGTAGCCACAACTAGTCGAGAGAAGCGCTGGAAAAGGGAGAACGAAGCTCAGACGCGTGCGAAGGAAAAGAGCAGAGTAGAGCCTGCCAAACACGCGAGCGAAAAAAGAGAGAGGAGTAGGGAAGCAAAGATGCACACATATGCAGAGGAGGCCTTCCCCTTAAAGAGGCATGGATGATAAGAAGGAAAAAACAGAAAAAGAAAGAGAGAGACTGAGAGGGAGAAATAGGGAAGGAAAAATAAAGCATGGAGACCGCATGCACACAGGCAGAAAAAAGAGGGGAGATGCACGTAGAAGAAGAGACCGAGAGTGGGAATGAAGGAGAGGAGAGAGAAAAGGAAAAGAGAAGAAAAACAGAGCTCGAAGATGAGAGGAAAGTCAAGGAAGGAGAGAGCACCGAGAAGGAGAGTAGAGGACTGAGAAGAGCGAGGGAGAGATTGAGAGAGAAGTCTGAATGAAGAACAGACACATCATGGAGGAGGGAAGGAGGGAAAAAAGAGAGATTGAAGAGGAGAAAAAACAAAGCACAAAGAAAAACGTCCGAGATAGGAGAAGAGAAAAGTTAGGTCCTGGAGGCGAAGATGGACAGAAGGGTTTGCTTCTGGATCTTGCTGAGGAGTGTGAAGGAAAGAGAATGAACAAGGAGAGAGAGGAAGCAACACAGAAAAAAAGGAGACCGAGAGAAGAGATGAGAGACTGAGAATGAGAGAGACCGAGAGTGGCAAAACAAAAAGAAAGCAGAGCACGGTGACGGATGGAAAAGAAGAAAAGACAGAGGCAGTTGCATGCGGACGTGGGTTTTTAGGCTAGAACGAGTTGAGGATGCGAGAGTGAGAGAGACTGAGAAAGAGAAAGCTGGGAACGGACGAGCAAAAAAAGAAGAAGAAAGAGAGATGGAGAATGAGAGAGAAAAGGAGATGGAGAATGAAGGAGAGAGTGAGAAGAAGTTTCAGAGTAGAAAAAGAAGAAGAAAGTAAGACGAACAAGAGAGGGATAAAAAGGGATACGGAGCAAAAGGTGGAAGCAAGAAGAGAAAGGCCGAGATAATGAGAAACAGAGACTGGTATGACGTAAGGAAGATGAACTAAACCACCATGAATGCTCCTTTTTGTCTGTGACCTGTGGCCCAAGAAAGATGAGGAGCTCTTGAAGAATCTGATTAAGGTACAGAAACGTGCATCAATCAGTTTTTCAAAATATCTATATGTTGAGTACAAGAAGAGTGGGATTTATGTGCAATATCAGGTATAATTTTATTCCATTCTTTATAGTTATCTTTTACACACACAACTTGATCATGTCTTTGATTTAGCTCTTTCTTATTTAAAATTTTGTAGTTCTTTCAAAAATTTCATATGCTTGCTTCATTCATTTAAATGATCATATTATTTTTGGAAAAATTAAGAGTACGCTTGTGTCTAATATGGGACTATTGTTTATTCACACATAATTTTAAGACATCAACTTGATTTTGATTTTCACAGGAAATAAATTGGGTGATTAATGATAGTGATGATATGTGAATCTTGTTTATTCTAATTGTCAGATGCTATAACCATGACTCTCATTATTTCCTTTCAAAACCCTTATCTGAGCATTAAGCCAATTTGAAAAACCTTAAAGAACATATCCTTAAGTCAAAAGAGGAGTGGAATATCAAAATAGTTTATTTCTCTCTTCTTTCCATTGCCTTTATTGCATGAATTATTTAGCCAACCATAATATTATGCTCGATTGCAAATGCAAATATCTTGATTATGTATTTGTTGTGTGAGATTTTAAGAATCTCTACAAGCATTTAAAATGATTCTATATCATGAAAATCAATAAGATTTCACAGGTACGAGGATTAATTTTGTATATAATAATATGAGTTTCAAAGACTCATCATTAAAATTAATTCTCTTTTTATAATTAATAAAATTTTAAGTATTATGAGAATTTCAAGAATCTTTATAGAGAATTAAATTAAGTGCATTATCATGTGGGATAATAAATCCTCACAGAATTTCACAATTATTAATTTATATAGTAAATAAATGATTTTTTTGTAAATAAAATTAATTAATCAAATTAATGTATTAAATCTTTTGGTCATCTGAGATTTTTAAATATCTATAAACCTCTAAAATAATCATCTTACCATGAAAGTCGATAAGACTTCACAGGTATAGCGACTAAGATTTCTATGTTCAAAAATGCAAATTGTATAATTACACATTAAAATATATATTATTTAATCCTTTATTGTGTGAGGATTTTGAATTTTCGTAGATATTTGGGATAATCGTATTAACTTAAAAGTCAATAAGGCTTTGCAGGTATGATGATTAAGAGTCTTTAAAAAAAAGTATATATGTACATACATGCTTAAAAATTATTATTAATACTTAAAAATATACATAAGAATATAAATAAATAAATTAAGTTGCTAAATTCTTTTATCGTGTGAGATTTTGAAATCTCTAAAATATATAAAATAATTGTATTATCGTATGAGCCAATAAGGCTCTGCAGGTATTGTGATAAATTCCCATCATAAAATATAAAATAAAAATAAAAATAATTTTTAAACTCTTTTCTTTTCTTTATTCCAAAAATTTTTAAAAATTGAGAAAATAGTTAAAATTAAATCACTTTTTGCAACTTAAAAACACACATTAAAATTTTAGAAATTGTTTTATATACAAAATGGTGAATTATTTCTAATTAATTTCTCTTCAAAACTATTTTCACCAACAATTTTCAAGCCCAAACTACGTGGAATTTGATCCCCATCATAAGGTACGTAGCTCTCAGAGTCTGATTTTAAGTCAAGTCCTCCCTTGTAAATATATAAATATTTCTCACTTAATTCTTATCATTTTTATATCAAACATATGAATATAAAAAGGATAATTAAAATAATTTTAAATCTATATTAATATAGCACAACAAACTTCAGATAACTATTCTTATGAATGGGTGTTGTGGGGTGCCTAACACCTTTCCCACACTCAATCGATTCCTAAACCTATTTTCTATTTTTGCAGACCACCCTTACCTCCTTTAAATGGTTTCCCAAGATTTCCCTTAAAATCTTGGTGGTGACTCCTGTTCCAGCCGGTTCCTACCACGAAGGTAAGGACCTTCCCTCGCACATCGTCTGTGTCGCATTTTTCGAGTATGACAGTTGGCAACTCCACTAGGGATAGGTTAGAGAGTCAAGCCTATATAAGTTTGTTGTACTCCAAATATAACATGTTGTTATTATTATTATTATTATTATCCCTTTTAATTTGTGTGTGCTTTTCGCCCCTCTTTTCCTCTTCTCTCTCTCTCTCTCTTCATTTTTTATAACATGTCTTAGGATAGCTAACATGCATAATAAATCCTAGGATAGAAGACTTTTATTTGTACATATAATTGCCTCTTTGTTTGATTTGATTAACAAATGAGGGTTGGGTAGCGTATGGGAATAAGATAACATGCTTGCATGCTCTTATCACATATTGTGCACTCATACAATTCAATACACACATTTTGGGCCCTATACCTGGGTCTGTGAATATCATAGGTTAGCGGGGGTTAGTAGTGGTTTCCCTGAAGAGTTTTTAAACTCTCAGAGGTTATTATGAATGCCTCACCCAAGTTGTTACTTACTCAGTAAATTCGATCCCTGAAGAGCTTATGTTC